ATTAAGCTTATTAATTCTTTGAAATATACCGACCCTTACAATTGTCAAAGCTCAAAAATTTTATTTTCTTTGATGTTTATCATGACGACAAACCTGGTATCAGTTTTAAGTTGGCGACTTTTTACTTATACTTGTTATTCTGTTTTCGCCAAAACTATTGCTATTTTTGTTGCTGCTGTCGTTGGCGTTGTTATTACTGTTGTTGCTGCTATTTCTGCTGTTTCTGCAGATTTATTATGCTATTAGAACTGAAGCTAAGTGCATAGTTTGTAAAATGAACTGTTGCTTTAAAATAATTGTGCATGAGAATATAAACTGCAAACACTGGATTCATGTTATTCATACTACACCTCAAAAGGTACTAGTATATTTTTTCTTGCAGAATTTATTTTATAGCATTTCTAAAACATTTAACAAAACGTTAAAATAGAAAACTTAGTGTAATCAGCAGTCTTAAATGTATAAAAATTTTCTTTGATAAAAAACTGTCTTATTTAGTTTTTTAAAATCTTCTTTATTTTTGATAATGTTTTGCTGCTTTCAAACAATGTTTGAAAAAGGGTTTCAGAAAAAGATAGCAGTTATCAGTAACATTCAACCAGGAATTTGATTGCGGTTTAACTGATTTGACAATTAACAATTCGTTTTAAATACACTGTAACCAAACACATAGTAGTTTTGGTAATAAAGTATAATTCAAAATTTTAGGTTTGTTTTTGAGGTTTTAGATTCTGAGCTGTCTAAATTTTCAGCAGCCTACAAATTAACAAAAAAAACAAATAACAAAAAAAAGAAAGAGCTCAAAATGAGGCTTTAAACTAAAGGAAAAAATGGATTAACCAAATAACAACTAAACACAGTCTGTTGTTGCAGGAAGCAGGAATTGATGAGATAAAAATTTGACATACTGCAAAAAGAAGGATATTGTCTATTTCCATTTCAAAAACTGCAAAAAAAAACTCTCTCATAAATGTACGATCAAAACGAAACAAAACAAAAAAGAAAAAATAATAATATTTTTAGATGAATCATAATTTTCACATGCAACAAAGATGATATAACAACAACAAAACACTTTTGATCCTCTTGATGCTCGTTTCTTTAGAACTGCTTTCGACAATCCTTACCTCTTTTGCTTCTTTGAGCTACTGACATATGTACATCTGTGCGTTTCGTTTTTTTTTTCATTTATTTTCTTAATATAGCAACACCCTTAACGGTGAGCGCTAAAATAATCTTGTCATTTATATGCCGATACATTATTACTGCTCTCGATAATGTACCGTTTCAAATTTTATAGTGTAGAGGGTTAGCAGCGAAAACAGTTGCGAACAGTACCGTAAACGTCTGCTATAAATCTATAAATGCTGCTTTTTTTTTGGAAGTTGGGGGGGGGGGAGGTGGGGACAGCGACAGTAGCAACTTCTACCTAACTGTTGTGTAGTCCTAAACTTGTTGAATCAAGTGTAGAATTATACGGAGGAAATTGTAATCAAAAGTACAAACTTAAATGTTTGTTCTTGGAATTACAGTAGATATGTAATTGTTCATTTTCGTTTTCTTTTTTTTTCTGTTACTTTTTTAAACAACTGAAAAACAATGCTGTTTTCATTCAGCTGTACATTTTATCAGTGATAAATTGTTGAAAAAAAAATTTAGAAAATACTACAGAATGCATCTCTTTTCCCTCTCTTGTTGCTGTTATTTTTATAGCTAATTTATATGTCACACTAAATATATATGTAATTCAATTTTTTATTCTTTTTAGATTAATTTTAGTAAGAACTTTTTCTTTGTAGGTACCAGTAAACTAATCACATAAAAATTTGTTGAATTTAAGAGTTAAACACGGTTTAGTAATAAATCAGTAGATAGTTTCTTTGGTACCGTGAAGCTAAGATGAACAGGCAGTCATTTAAGACAAGAAAAGAAACATGAAACAACTGTAAATGCTAAACATAAAAAAGCTTAAGTGTGTTCTTTTCAATAATTATTTTGCTTTTCCTGTTTAATTCCTTCACAAAATAAATAGAAGAAGAAGTGAATTAAAATAGCCTCAACGTATTTGGGCTGAAAACAGCTAAACAGCTATGTGTTTGGCTAAATAAATCAAATTTATTAGAAATACTATTTCACTTTGACATGGCGCCTCAACAGGTTATAAGCCATTAATCTGTTGCTGGTTTTCTGGTAAATTTATGTCATTAGTTATCAACCAAAAAAGGGTTATTTTTACAGCTTAATGTTTCAACTGTCAAAAATTTCTTTTTTTCTTCTAATTTCATTTTGCAGTAATATGTGTAGAACTGAACAATACTGTAATAGTACAAAAGCTAATGGAATACGGCAAAAAACGGTTATCTCACTATTACTTGACAGATTTATTTGGTTGTAGTTTTTCTTATTGAATAATCAGTCAGTTTATTAATGCTTGACCAAATAAATCACATTTATTAGAGATACTATTTCAGAATATTGCTGTGTTGTTTTCTGTACTCTTTGCTTCTTTTTTTTTTTTTTTTT